CCTTTGAAGCTGAAGGTTTCATTCTTTTTTTTATCCTCACCCAAGGGTATGCTTTTCATTGCTTTAGAGAGGGAGCAAGAAACATCGACCGGCCACCTCCCATACACACCCCAACTGGGGGGTCAGCCTGAGACGTGGGTATTTGCCCTGACCCACAGTCAAACCCGCCACCTTTCGGTGTACGGTAGGACATTCCAACAGCCACACCTGCCAGGGTGAAGCCAAAGTGCTTTTTGAGGCTGTTCTTAGGAGTTCAGTTGATAATTAGAGCTTTAAGACTTACCCTACACCAAATATGTTGGTATTAAAACAAGGTAATGACTTGTAAAAAAAAACGGTTTCAGAAATGAGACCTTGGGAAAATGAAGGTGCTGCTTTGCTTTTGTTACTGGCTGGAAGGAGTTGTGGGTGGGATGCTAAGACTGGCATTGACAGGGTTAAGTAAATTAGCTGACAGGCTAAACAGCCAGGTGGGGCACTATGAAGAAAACTGTTCTGGTGGGAATGAAATACCTACGGATTATTTAATTTAAAAACTAAGTTTTCTGCTGAACACAGATGACATCAAAGATAAGTTGAACTATGACAACTTCAAATGACAGTAAGTGATGGAGTTCAAAACCCAACTAGGCTCATGTGTGATTTAAAACAGATCCAGCTGGAAAAAGTCCTCCTAAGACTCCGGAGCCCCTAATCTCAAGCAGCACTTGCAGACTTCTTCATCCCAACTTTAAAGGAAACTACGATTCGTGTTTGCTAAAGTAACTCATTTTTATGATTGGTGTCAATTGTGTGTGTTCATTTGGGCACTCGATAGGCATTCTGAGTACAGTTCACTTTGAGGTCTAGTGTCTCCCGTGCTCCCTAAAATGGTCAGGAAAAGAATTCTACCTGAAGGTTCTAGCTGGTCAGTCTCTGCTCTAAAAAGCTTTTCAGTATAATTCTCTCCCAGAACTGAAGTTTTTATCTTTACTTGTCTCTCTGTAATAAGCCTCTTTGTCTACAAATAATGATTTTCTCACTTGAGCTTGAAGTCTCATCCTGAACAGACGATAACATGGAATGAGGATGTAGGCTGGGTTTTGGATTTGTATGTGAACTACTGCAAAGTTTTTTCAGAAAATGAACATGGTCCTACTACCTGACTGGTGATTCCTGAACAAACAGCAGGCTGGCAAGTTCTTACTGTTTCCTTTTAAAATCTTAAAAGTGGCCCTGGCCAGCTTGGCTCAGTGGATAGAGTGTTGGCCTGTGGACTGAAGGGTCCCCGGTTTGATTCCTGGTCAAGGGCATGTACCTGGGTTGCGGGCTCCTCCTGGCCTGGTCCCTGGTCAGGGCTTGTGCAGGAGGCAACCAATTGATGAGTTTCTCTCATCGATGTTTCTCTCTCTCTCTCCATTCTCTCTCTTCTACTCTCCATAAAAATCAATGGAAAAATATTCTCAGGTGAGGATTAACAAAATAAAATAAAATCCTAAAAGTGGCAATGAATTTCTTGGCAGCATATCAAAATGTGTTCCAGATGAGGTGGGACTTAACTCTGTCAATGCCAGTCTCAGCATCCCACCCACAACTCCGTCCAGCCACTAACACAGATTTCTATGGGACAGGCTAACTAGTAATCCCACCTTCATTTGAGTTAGTTTTCAAATCATTTAATCTTCACAATATTTAAGAAAAAGTGTGTATATCACCATTTCAAAGATGAGAAACGGAGGCTCTGAGGAAGTTAAGGCAGTTTGTGACTGGAGCTAGGACAAAAATCCAGGTATCCAGACCCCTGGCCAGCCTGAGACTAATCCTGGCTCAGTTTTCAGAAATAATGCCTTGCCCTGAGGAAACAGTATTATTTCACATATGAATTTAAAATTCCACTTCACAGTGCTTCCTTCAGAGATCTGAGTCAAATACGCGCCTGCATTTTAAAGGCTTGGAACATAATCAGGAGTAAAACAGGATGTAAGATTTAACTTTAATTTTAGTTGACATTTGCTGAAAAGCACAGAACAGTTAACATTTGACTGCCTCAATGTTAAGGTTACAAACAAAATCCTTAAGTCAAAGAGTTACAGGATCCCACATCAGTTATTTCACATTAAGTGCAGGTTTAAAAACAAAATTAGTGCTGTGTTTGGAGCACAAGATACGCATTTCAATTTAACAACACAAACTTAGCACCTTTAAAATAAAATAAATACTGATGACCACATTGTAAGTACAAAAGTATCATCTCAATAGGGGGAAGATCCAGTTCACCAACAGTGCAAACCAACAGCAGCTTTTCCAAAGCTGAAATTAAGTTTGTGTAAACACATACCCACCAGCACTCTGCCTAATACAGAGTCCCTCCCACCGGGGCCGAGAGAGAGTTCCTGCTCCGCATCTTAGATTCCGATTCTGAAAGCTGCCGCCATTCCAGGCCCAGGGGCGGGATTTACGTGCAGTACCAGGGGGATCCGACGTCTGAGCAGGAAGGAGTTCTTTCAGATGGGTCAACTAGAACATTGTCAGTCCAACCCGAGCCTTCCAGCCCAAGCGTACGCATGCCCACAGGCCTGCCTGCTGTGACCCTGACGTCAGGGGGGCACCTGAGTGCAGAGCGATGCTGGATGAGGGATGATGGCCCAGGCTCCCCACAGAGGACACTGCTTTGCCACCAGAGCACTCTGGGCCAACTCAGTGCAATTACAAACGTTGTAATTCTGAACCTACTGTCACCAGGGCTGCTTGAGGACTGAAGGTCTGTCTAAATGTTCAGTCTTCACCTTTTCAGACATGAATGACTGGTCCTCCCCAACGTGCTTTTATATCACAAGGTTACTGTGTTCCTTTCTCAGGAGCATCCCATGTTTGTTTACACAGAGCTTTACACTGAGGTTTAGGTCTTACTAACAAGTAAGCCACATACAAAGAAAATACTAGAAGCAGACTCAGTGGCCAGTTATTTGCATTACAGTGTTACATAAAAACTGCTGGATGTTTTTTCTAAATCAGCATTTACCAATTGTCCAGACCAAACGTCATTTCCAAGCATGAAAGTTCGGATTCCAACATCTCCACTGACCCATGTGCAACACAACTTATTCTGTTCCCAAATACTCCTGGGAGCACTTGCTGGCTCGGCTGTCATCGACGCCGAATGGGTTTGTAGACACAAAATGCCATAAGGATCATGGTCACCAGCAGGATGCTGAAAATGGTCCCCATCAACACTGCAAAAGGAATACAGGTTACCTCCTAATGGCGGCTCCAGGTTCTGTAAGTCGTCATTCATTGGTGATGATGGACCCAACGCCACTCAGTACCAGGCACGGTGCCAGGTGTGGGGGAAACAGCCTTGAACTGCCCTCTCTGGAAGTCTCCATGTATTGAGGGGAGAGAATGTACACAAATAAGAGCATTTCACAGAGCCCGACAAGCTGCAGTGAAGGAAACTAATGTGACGGTGGGGGAGGAAGCACCTCAGCGGGGACACATGAGCTGAGACTTTAATGGAATGAAGGTGCTGCCGTATGAAGGTTTGCAGGGAGAGCACTGCAGGCCCCAAGATCAGCAAATGAGGGCCACTGAGGCCAGAGCAAGCCAAAGAGCTAATGAATGAATAGGAGGCAAGCATGGTAGGGGTGGGAACAGTGAAGAGAGAAAGGCAGGAAATGAAGATAGAGACGAAGACTGCAGCCAGTCCATATAGAAGGAAACGTGGATTTTATTCTCAGTTTAAAGAAAGGGTTGTAGGCAAGGAATAATGAACTGAATAAAAACAGGGAACCCAACTATGGTTTTAAAGCCATTTATAAAAACTAGAAATTCAATAAAGAATAAAGTATTTCAGTCTCTGTGTGATTTTTGAGAAGGGCCTTCTGATCAAAGCAATCTACTAACTTCATAACGTACTATGTTTTTGAAAGTAAATTTCACAACTAAAACTTACAATGTGCTCAAGTGAGAAATGGGACCTGCAATTGGTAACTCAAGTTAATCTGTGTTCCAGGACTAGATACAAGGACCTGGCTTTAAATTAATGTAACCAGCAACCTGTCAGAAGTCACATGCACCCCCAATTGTATGACTCTCAGAATTGTGGGAGGCTTTCAAAATGATGTTACTTTTAACAAGCAAATGTACATCTGTGTTGGTAAGTATGTCTGGAGATATTCTGATTGTCTGGACTGGGAGAGAGGTGTGCTACTGGCATCTAGTGGGTAAACATCTCACGGTGTGCAGGACAGCCTGTCTCACCTCCTCCCATCCTAACAATGAAGGATCCAGTCCGACCTGTCAGTAGTACCCAGGTTGAGAAGCCTGTTCTAAAGGATAAAGCAGGATAATGTGTGGAAACCACTTAGCGTAGTGCTAG